TCATTGCCATTAACACTATGAATTTATACACTTAAAACCAAGATATTCCTTAACGCAAAAAAGTGCAGCTTTCAGATACTTTTATGCCTTTTTTTCTTTTTTTTTTAAATGACCACTGTTACCTTCTCAGAAAGCAATAGCAACCTTCCAAATACTGGGGTTTGTAGCAAGTCATTAAAGTATTTCATCATTTATGTTAGTGCAGAGATTTCCGGGCAAATTACGTCCAGTTTGGCTTAAAACTAGAAATCACCCTGAAAAATTAGTGTGCAACTTCTGTCCTCTATTATGTGTCATTTCTTGTGCTTATTAGGCTATTGGCAAAGCAATGTAATAATGTTCTAGCAACTGAATGGGGGCATCTGAAAGAGAGTAGCCCAATTTGCAAGCTCTAAGCTGTTATATATCACACTTAGCTGAAGTGGTGGAAAAGCTACACAACTTTGCTTGACAAAATCCACAGTCATAGTTTATTTTCTCTCTGCGGCCAGCTTCCTGCTAGATTTTTCTATTTGTCCCTGAGAACTTGGCCCAAAGTTCCAGATTTCTATTTCCAAGAAGCACGAGCTGGTTGAGAGTGACCTTCCGTGTGAATGTGTATGTTCTGCCCAGACGCATGCATTCCTTAGCATGTTTCAGCTCAAGCCTGTTCTCTTTGGGACACAAAACGAGAAAGATAAACAGTCTTCACGCTGTTGTAGAGATACAGAGCCAAGATCTGATCCAACAGTTCAACTTCTGCCATGTTTGTTTTCTAGCATATAAATTACCAGCCTGGCCCACAGTTCAGGAAATTAAAATATCATTCAAGACGTAAGCAACACAGATGAGGAGGAAACAGAAAGAAATTCTGTGAACTTCTGGCATTACGGCACATTACAGCTACTCCTTTCAACACCGCTGTGTAATACACTTCTCAACGGGATATAATAGCCACATTGTGCACACAACCTAGCTCTGGAGTTACATGCACAAAACAGAACAAGGCCATTTCATAAAATATGTGTTTAGCCACTGCTGGATATATCTTCAAAAGGCAAAATAATCTATAAAGTATTGTCACTTCAACTTCATGTAGTTTTAGCTGGGTTTCGGGAATCTTTACAGGTTGGAGTGCGGGATTCAGCATAGACACGTCTTTAATGTGTCAACACATGGACACTACATCTAAATCCTCAAATTGCTTGATTGTGTGATTTTTCAAGAGACTTGTCCAGTTGTTGCTGTGAATCACCCATCATGACACTGGAGGATAAAACAAAAGCCCACCTAAGTTGTCCTAGGGAGTGACCCTCACAAATGTTCAGGGAGAATGAGGAAGCTCCTGGTTTAAAACAATCTCTTTGTCCCCCTTTTCTGCCTCTTCAGTCAAGGGCTTGGCACAAGATTTTATTTCAATATTTTTTTGAAATATTGAATGTTTGTTTTCAATAAGTAGTTTACTGAAAAAGAGTTTACACAGCTGTTGCTTCTTCCAGACAACCTTCTTCCCGGTGGCCTGACAAGCAAGACCACTATTTTGGCATTGCTTTGGGATTTTGCAGTTCCATAGTCCCAAAGAAGGTAAAAAATTGCTTTGTTCTTAAGGTGACATCAAATTCCATTGGATTCAATGGACAACTGCCATAAATAGGAGCGAGAATTAGATCAAAATTTTTGAGGCATGTTTATGCTATCCTCAGTCCCAAATGGCTCTGTATTACAGACATGCATTTAATGGCATAACTATGATTTTAAGCACACAATTTATTTCTGAAGATGATACTGTATCATTAAGAGCAGTATTTTGTCACCTTTGAGTAGACAGGGAAAACAAAACGTCTTAGATTTTATCTATATGATCATATGAATTTGAAGTAACACATATATGATTATTTTTCAAAATGGATCATAAAATATGTATTCATTTATAAGCTCTGCATGCATGGCACTTGGGAAAGAGCAAATCCGTATTGCAGTGTATCAGCAGCAAAGAGAAGGTCAAAAATTGAATTTAAATAATTCATATTTTTAAGTCGCTGGTATGTATCACTGATGAAAATTTTAGCTTAGGGTGTAGTTTGCTTCAGCAAGACTAAAACTTAGGTAAGAGAAATGTATATTGCTCTGTTAACTTTGTAGTCCTCTAAAAGGCTTATGCTATATTTAAACACTATACACTATTCTGAGGGTTATTGTCAAAAATTTTGAGATTAGGTATATAGCAATAAGAAAAACCAAGCTAAGAACCAAATCTGTAATTCTTCATCTCTTTCAATTAACTTGTTGAAATAGCTCAATCAGCAACTTGTAAAAAGGAACTATTTACAGAAACAAAAGGGCAAGTAAGGACTCAATCCTTTAGCCTTCACTCAAGCAAAAGAAAAAGAAAATCTTATCAGGCGACGACAATTGTATTTAATTACAAGATTTCAGGATTAAACAATAAGCTTTCCGTTCTATGTGAAAAACTGCAGCATCTGCAGCATCCTGCATCATACCATATCATCCCACAGATATTCTTAGAGCTTTTTCAGAACTGCATTTTTTACTGGGTGACTTTTGACTGAATCTCTTTCCTTCTGGTCAATACGTGAACATTTAGCAGTGAGACCTGGACTAGAATTTTCTGCATAACGTCCTATTTCACCTGCTACTGACACCAGTGGAAAGAACCCACAGTGATTTCACTGGAGTTTGAATTAGGCCTTTCGTGAGAGGAGTCTGTCTGTGACAGGTATTCATTATAGAAATAATTATTGATAACAATTTTGGTAATATATATTAATGCTATGTGTTGTCTCTTCTAGAAACGGCTTATTCTAAAAAGGTTAAATAACTAATATATAATGTTAAAAAAGCTGACAAATCTGTACATATTTTATAACACTAACGACATTAGCTTTCTACTGCTCTTATTAGTGCGTCGTGTGAAACCAAAACAGCTGACTTTGATCAGGATGTGACTCAGTAATATCCGGATATAACATGTGATAGACATAAAATTTCTACTTCAGATGGCTACAGCAGCAGCCTACTCACTGTAGCATTTTACTATACCAGGGTTGTTTGCTGTTTTGCATATTTTATTCAATTAAGGACTAACTAATTCTCCTCTAGTAAGAGTCTACACCCAGGAATGTCTCATCTGGCCCTTAAATTAATTTTCGTGTGATATGATAAATTATTTATCTTTCCCAAATCAGTCATCATTAACTTATTAAATGCTATTATTTTGCTAATAATTGTTGCTGGTACTTAGTAGCCATAGCATCAAAAACATGCCAGTGCTGAGCTTTCTAAAAAAAGGGCCAGACCTCCTTATTTGCACGTAGTGTGCAAATAAACAAAGCACCCTTGCCCTGCAGACTTTACAGTCTCAAATTCCAGCTCAAAAAGGTGCTCAGTACTTTTCTGAAAGGCTTGCGTTACGGAATCCGATCCCATTTCATCCCTGCTAAACCATTTCCTGCTCCTGCTGCCCCTCAGAAAGATCTATTAATATGGGTTTCCTTTGAGCATCTGCAATGGCACGCTGGAGCCATGAAACACTGGGAAGACTTGCTTCTATAACTGCGCAGCTTTGCCTCTACTGGGAAAAATCCTTTTGGCAGCGTAATGGTAGTGAAGATGCTGTACTGAAACCTCTGCCGAAAACCACATTCAGTACCCACCATGATTTAGAAATCAGCTCTGTGTTATGATGCTAATTAGCAACATTTCAATTACATATCGTTTTAATTTATTTTCGACTCTAGTACTTTGTAGTTCTTTCACAACTTTGAAAGGAAATATTGAAATTCTACACGGATTACTCATTATGGGAATTTCAATGTTAAAATAATTGGTCTTTCTTGTATAAACGTGCTTCGCCGCTGTAAAACTTCATTAACCCTCCACCAGAGGGCAACATCAGAAAAAAACATGTCTATAAATCCAAAGAGCAGTTGCTTTTAGGATATTGCAGCTACACGTCTTCATCAGGGAATCTTACTTTTAAAATACGCTGTTTACGTTTTGTCACCAACTAGGCAAGTGAAGGAGCTTAATAATTTTGGAAGGATTTGTTTAAAGCACAAGTTATATATATATATTTTTAATTAACGAATCTACATAAACTTTAAGATTAACATGAAGCCTAAGAGAAATATGATGGTTATGACTTAGAAAGAAATACTACATTTTGCATCTTCAATCTACTTCAAAGTGATTAAAGTCAGAAAATTACTACTAGATACTGGAAAGAAAACTAATTCTCTTCAGAATGTGCCCAGCTCATTCCAGTGCTGTAAATATCACAAGTCAAGTCTAAATGTTACGCTGGCCTACTCAGAGGCACGAAAGCAGAGGACACAAGGAGGTGGGAAATACTAAAGGCTTAAGAGAAAGCAGTCACTAATGGATGCCTAATATGACATAAAATAAGCTGTTTGAGCAAATATGGATATAGAGATAAATGCACCTTTAGAATAGACGCAATCTGTTCATAGCAAGAGCAGTACTGTTTGCAGTTAATGCCCTGTTTGCCCAGCAGCGCGACTGGCTGCGCGAAGGCCACGTCCTTTCTCTGCCCGAACAGTACAGACGGATCAGCGACACTGGCCCCGACGGGCGCCAAACCCCGCGGCG